CTCGCCTCCTCGCGCCACGACCGGACCCCGGTGCCCCCCGCACCGCACCGCACCGCACGCGGGAGACGAGCTCCGTCCAACGTCCACGAAACCCCCGCGCGGCCACACGTTGCTCAGAAACAAAACAGGCTTTGACAAATTATTTTCAAAGGACCGGCTTGGTATCCGCCCATCCAAATACAAGCACGTGAACGCAGAATTTCTATAAAATTAGTTAAAGATGCAATCAAGACACAATTTATAAACCATCACTTGGGCAACAAAAAGAATTCAACCGTGCGCCGCCGAGCAGGAAGCGCGACCCCTCGCCCGCACCGGAAACCACGCTGACGCTCGGGCGGCCAAAGGCGCTCCAGCGTCTCGATGTGACGGGTGGACCAGCACGCACCCCAGGCCTCGGTCCGCGGCGAGAGCCCAGAGGACAGACACGTCCAGTCCCACCTCCGGGAAGAGGTGTCAGAGGCACAGCCAGCGTCCTTGCACGACGCAAGGGTGACAGCGGTCTAGCGGAACTGGCGGGGCCTCCTCGGCTTTCATCTGGAGGGGACACGGAGGCTGTGCCAGAACAAAGGCCGCCTCCCTCAAACCCAGCACAGGGGAGACCCCGAAAGAGCCACTACCGCAGCACGTGAGTGGGAACCTCCCGGTGAATTCGACAGATTTAAGTTACAAAAGCTCAGCAGTGACGCGACCTCGCGTCATTTCCGCAGACAGCGGTCCTCTCCCTACACACGCCCACAGAGCCACAGAACGGTGAGAAACGTCACCACGTGCTTTGAGCAACTGCCCAAAGGGGCGCCTGGAGCCCACGGGCAGGCCCCTCGCAGCCCCGGGCGCGCGCCACCGGCACCCCCCGCGCACGTCCCTCCGGCGGGCTCCATAAGCCAGACGCCGCCGCGCAAGCGCCATCGGGTTCCCGGGGTGCACGGGGCGTGCAACGCGACCACGCCGGGCCGCCCCCGCCCCCAGCCAGCCCGTGACGGTGCCACCCTGGAGGACACTGCGGCGTCTGGCTTCTCGTCTGGGGATAAAGAGGCCCCTGGACGGTCGGCTGCGAACGAGGGCCCAGCCGCTCCGCGACACCCTGGGGGAGAGAAGGCGGCGCCGTGGCGCTCCGTGGCATTTACCTGTGTCCAGGCGCTTTCCCGGGGACCCCTCCTCCACCTCGGAGTCGCCGCAGGTGCTCCGCGACCTTTTTCTTGGCTGCAGAAGAGTCTCCAACCTCGGAAGGACTACAGACAAAAAGGTTTTGGTCCCTAGCTGAGGAGAAGTTGGCTGGGTTTCAGTGTTCTTGGCAGACTTTGGGGGGCTTACACTTTTCGATTTGCAGAAGAGAACAGAAGTGCGTCTGTTTACATCGCTTGATGGCTCCGCCACCGCGGAGGCCGCCGCCGCCGGCGCATCGCCACTACTGGCGAGGGTGGGCTCTGGAGGGTGTCCGATTACCAGTGCGCTCTGAGTGCAAGTGCTATGTGATTCATTATCAAATGTGACTCTTTTGAATAGTTTACTCTGCTCTGGGTTCAGTTCTACTGGTTTGAGGGTTGGTGGTTCTGAATTAGTCTCCGAGTTTGAAGGAAGAGGTAATGCATCTGATGGTTCAAGTTTAGGGGGAGATTTATCTCCTGAAAAAATTATAAATAAAGTGATTTTTGAAAACTGATAATTATAAAATCTATTATAAAACTTACTACAAATGTGAAGTCCACCAAAACACTAATTCAATTAGGAAACAAAGCATCACACATACTGTCTGCAAGCAGTGAAGGGCCCGTCGGGTCACACTGTGTGCGCTTCCCTAACACCAAAGACTGAGGTGGCCTGGCGCCCCGGGTCCGGGTGCGCAGGTGTAGAAAGTTCCTCTCTGAAAACAACTGTGAACGACTCCTTCACATATGTCGACAGTAACACATCATTCGAGTTCATGACAATTTCTGCGACCAACGATTCACTTACCTTGAGGAAGAAAACAGTTCACTCAACTAGGGAGTCTAACGCGGCATTCCCACACAGTCCTGACCTGGGTCACGCGGTCAGCAAACAGGAGGACACGAGCGTGTCCGTGTGATTTCTGACCAGGGTGTCCTAAGTCGATGATAAACCCATCTGATGAGTGGCGAGTGGCTGTGAACGGCTCAGGGAAGCAGGAAAACCCCCACTCAGCTCTCCAGATCCTTCACCCTCTATGCCACGTTCTGCAATGTTCTACTCTGGGCAGTTTTTCTAGAATCTGACTTTAAAACTAAAAAGTCTTTGGAAGATGACTATTTTAGCCTCGTTTAAAAGGCTTCTTGACGCTACTGACATAAAAACAAGAAGCCTGAAAAGCCCAGGGAACACGACTTCGTCACCTGGCCCTGGGAGGTCGGTCTGCTGGCCACCAGGGCCCGGAGAGGAGGCCCTCCGGCGGCGGCGAAGCAGGCTGGCCAGCAAGGGCACAGCCTCTAGGACCAGCCGCTGCCTGGGGCTACAAGACACGTGACCTACAACCAAGAATAACAATTCATACGACCTAAGTCGATATATTATCACTAGGTATAGTTTTTATTTCATTGAACCTGCAAACCGCCCCAAGGCCACTTGAAAAAATACAAGTCAGTACATCCAATCCAGTCATCCTGAAAACGGGAAGCTACTAAGTTCCGCTTCCGTCTCAGAGCAAACGTTTTGAGAATCCTCCCTTAACAATGTGACAGGTGCCTCAGCTCTGCGGGGCCACTCGAAGCTTGCCGGGCACGTCACAGGTGACCCAAACACCACGGGAGCATGTCCTCAGCAGAAAGCCATATAAAGGGTCCGTGGCCGCACCGCTGCCCAGCAAACCGCGAGGCACGCTGGCGTGGAGGGAGAGCCTTCCTGCTCATCACTTCAAAGTCACCAACAGGTTTAGGCAAACAGCATTTACAAACCCCCCCCCCCCACCCGCAGGGGGCGCTGAGCAAACGGGACCCGCAGGGCACAAAGAGCTGCTCCCGGAAAGCTGCTCCCACAACCGGGGGCCAGGGGGGGCACTCTCGCGAGGAGCCTCGGCCACCCCTTCCCCGCGCACTGCACTGCCTCGGCTCACCCGCCACCTCCCGTCCCCGCCTCCAGCCTCTCCTGGGGCCCGCACACCAGGCACCGTCCTGACCCTGCACCAGAGCGCCTGCCCCCTCCCTGCGGCCGACGGCCTCGGCGACACCAGGCGGTGACCGCTAGAGGCCGAGGGAGCGTCATCCCTCGCCAGGCTCTCCGGGCCCCTCTTCACGAGCCATCTCCACGCTACCAGTGGGGACTCGCATCCCGGCTCAGGCCCCCGGCCTGCCTGCTCCTGCCTGGGGAGCACCGCCCCAAGTGCCCACGTCCCTGCCAGGCACACAGGGGCCCTGGACCGCCGAGGTCACCCACACCTTCTCCAGCCTCTCATGCTAGGCCCATACTCGGCGTTCTCCTGCCCTTGCGTCCCTCGCCAGGAGCAAAGGTCGAGGCCTCATCAGAAGGGCCTCCCTACCCCTCCTTCTACCCAAAGGCAGCCTGGGGCACAGCCATGACCACTCTGCTTGTCCATCGTCCCTGCTCTGCGGTCGGCCTGGGCAGCTCACTGGAAGCATCTCTGGGGTATGAACGGGGCAGGCGGAGGGGGCCGGGGGTCAAGGGCTACTCAGATGACCGGGTACAAACACCGCCACCTCCAGCTGCGAGACCCAGGCGGGTCGCTGAACCCCTGAGCCTCACTTTCCTCATCTGTACGGTGAGACAGAAGACAGCACCGGTGCCTGGTGAACCCCACGGCACCCCATCAGCCACCACCCTGCGCTGCCTGGCCCTTCAGAGGCGGCATCCCAGTCAGGACCCTGAGCAGAAACCATACTGGAGTTCGTAACAAATACGAACGTGGGGCACCTGGGGGGGGTGCTCGGTCAGGTAAGCGTCCGACTCTTGATTTCAGTTCAGGCCATGAGCTCCCGGTTCGTGAATTGGAGCCCTGTGTCAGGCTCTGTGCTGAGATTCTCTCTCTCTCGTGCTCTCTCTCAAAATGAATAAACAAACTTTTGAAAAAATAACAAATACGAACGTTCTCGTGAAAGCTCACGGGCTGCTAAGAATTGTATCATCTTACTGCAATCTGAGAAATGCTCAATTACCTTCTAGAATGAACTCTACCCACCTCTCCGTTTGTAAACCTAAGCAACCACTCATTCACAACACAACAGCTCCCCGTTCAGGACGCCTACTTAAAACTAGCTGCTCCGGAAAAATCAGCAAAAACGCAGTTACGTCTGCAAGACCAGCTGTTCCCCGGCAACACCGACCAAACGCGTCTGCATCGAAGCTACGGGAAGCTCGGGAAGACTCCAGTGTGAAGCATCGGCCGCTTCTGACCCACAACCGCGCGCCGTCTGACGAGCACCCCTGCCTCGGGCTTCCTCCGCTCGCGATCCCAGAGGGAGAAAGCGAAAGACACAACACCGCAGACCAAGGGAGACCTCTCGTAAACGTGACGGGGCCCTCGCACGCTCCAGTGTCACTCGTGTAGGGAAAGCAGGGCCCGGCAAAGCCAACCCCGCGGCCGAGCGGAACCCTGGCTGCGCCTTCAGGAAGAGAGAAAGGCACGGCCTTGACCAGTGAGGACAGAGCTCAAAGTACGGCCTAGATCCCAGTGACGGGACACGAGAGCCCCAGTCGGCGGCTCGGTGACAGCGCCCTGAGCCCTGCCAGCCCACAGCTCGTCCTCCCAAAGCCGCTGTCTTCACTGCTCTGCACCCAGCCAGTCACCTGGAACCAGACTCCGGGTAGAAGCGGGCCAAGCACCCCGAGCAGCTCACGAGCCCACCGGTGCCTTGACGGGGCCTGCGGCGGTGACGGGGCCCACCCAGCTGCGCCATCGGCACAGGGAGCCAAGGCCGGGGCCCTGGCCCCAAAACTGGGGGTGGAAGGAAGGGCTACGGGCAGAGCGACACCCCCGGGGACCCCCTTCGGGGGGGGCGCCTCGGCGGGCCCGACCCAAGTACGACCCCCGCCCAGTTACGACGGAGACCGCGTCCTGAGGTGTGCGGATGCCACCGACGTCCCGCACCTGGTCTCTCGGAAGACACTTGCTTCTGGCCTCACGGGAAGGATGGAGAGCTGCCCTCTACCCCCGCTCACGGTGTCTGCCCTGCCGGTCTTCTCCAACTTCCGCGGGAGGACCCCCCCACCCCCATCCGGAGGCCCTGCTGCTTCCTCAGGGCCTCCCTGAAGGCGGCCTCGTCCTCCCCAGCACCCTTCTCCCCAGCCACGAGGGAGACACCCTTTCTGCGTGTTTACGCACTTTTAACAAGAGACCTGATGCTCCACACGGATTCCGGGCCGTCTTTTGTTAGACCTCACCGCCGTCTTCCTTCAGAATGACCCCGGCACCACAGAGCAGCAAACGTGGGCTGCAGTGGGGGGGGGCGCCCGCCCGGTGGGGACCCCGAGCCGTGCACCGAGACGGCCGGACGACTGGGGAAGACACCGCGTCCAGACCAGCCCTCCGATGACCGTGAATGACCGGTCGACAAGCTTTCCCCCAACTCACTCTTTTCAGGGCAAGTAACGTGCAGAGTGGTTTTTCCACGAACAGCAAACGAGCAGCTCAGCCAGAGCGCCTGCTCGGGCAGCGGGAGGGGGCTGGACAGAAGGGAGGAAGACACACACCCCACTCCAGGCCTAATGACTGGGGCTGCCCTGACCCCCAAGGGCAATGTGGGTGCCAAAGGGGTGGGGGGGGGGGGGGGGGGGGCAAAGCCCCTGCGAGCAAGTGCTCAGACCTGTCCTTCCTTCCCCGGCGAAGAACGCGGCCCCTCCTCTCGTCCCCCACAAGGGAGGACCGAGAGCCTGCATCTGTCACTCGGGGGGCCCAGGCCAAGGCCCTGTGAGCGGAAACAAACCAGGCCTGGTGTGAGGGGAAGCTGCACAAGTCTCAGCTGTGCGCACAAGCAGGCCACTTCCAGGAGAAAGAGGAGCTCGAGGGCTGGAGCCGCCCCGCGGGGCAGCGCCACAGTGGGACCATGTCAGGTTCAGTCAGGGGGACCGAAGGTCATCACCAACGGCCCCCTCCTGGGACTGGCTACACGCGGGGCCGCCCCCGCCGACAGACGCCCACAGCCCGCGTAAGCGCTTTTCCAACGAGCCAACTAGAACAACTTTGTGCGCCTGTCCCGCTGCTCTTGCGGCCCGAGTTTGGACGCGCCGAGAGAAAGCTCGGACTCTGAGCCGAACCGCCAGCAGCGCGTTGAGAGAGTCTCACTGCGCCTTCCCTTCCGGGACACCGAACGGGGCAGACTCCAAGATTAGGAGAGCACAGAACAGCGAGGAGCTGCTTCTACCAGGTTCCACCAGGTTCCAGGTGCTCAAACCACTGACAGCGCGTGTCCCGAGCACAAGGCCCGCCACCTACAGCCACCTGCGCGGAGGTTCACGTTAGCACCGGGGGGACGCGCTTCTTCCCAACTTCTTCCTATCCACGGACCCGTCCAGTGTCCAGCTCCTCTCCCGGACGTACGCCCCAGTTAAGGTCGCCAGCTGTCACCGCTGTGTGTGTGACACGTCGGAGGCCTACCAGGCAGCTCCAGGTCAGCTCCCCGCTCCCTGGCGACAGCGTGTGCGCCACCTTCCACCCTTTGGACGTCAGAGGGGAGGATTCACGTGACAGTGGCATCACGGCCCTCTCGGGAGCTGCTACGACCAACAAAAACAGCCATCACTCTTGCCACGGAAGCCACGTCTACCCTACAACCATTCTGGGAGGCGTAAGAGGCCTAAATCACTGTTTTTAAATAGTTTTTCAGCAATGAGTTGGAAAAAAAGGGCTTATTCTGGGTCTTCAACTTTGTGACCACCTAAAGGCCGAGATGCAGCACGGTGGCACCGACTGTGACAGGAAACCAGCCCGGTGGGGACCCCGGGCAGGGAGGGACGGACACTGAGCGCGTGCTTACCTTCCTCCCCCGTCTCCTGCCCCAGCTGAGCACTTTCCTCTTCAAAGCTTCCAATACCTGATTCCGCGGGCGGGGGCTGGCTGTGCTGCTGGCTCAGCTTGTTCCGAAGGACCGCGATCTCCTTTTTCAGGAGCTTGGCCCGCTTGCTCCGAGACCCGCTGGACTTCATGGCGCATGTGAGGTCCAGCTTGTCCAGCAGCTCCCTTAGCTGCTCCTCTAGGACCATGTGGGCCCTGTTGGCTGGGTTCAGCAACCTGTCCACTGAAGTCGAAGGACACCCCGTCAGTCACCGGCTACCGGTGCCCCCCGAGACCACCTCGCCAGCACAGGCCCTGCCCGCGGGAGCCCCACAAGCCCCTCCACGCTCACTCCAAACCCGCGACGGGCACTGCCACAGGGAGACCAGCTTTCACCCCGTGGCTGTCCGGACTCCCCTGGAGGAAAGCTCGTACGCCTGTGGCTGGCTGGCCAGGCACACAGGGACACAGTGCGCAGAAGGAGGGCTAGCGCCTCTCCCGGCGCGCGCCCGAACCACGCTCTCTGGTGAAGACCGGTGGAAGAGGCCCACCAGGGCCGCCCCAGAGGGAGGCGGGCTCTGCTGACCACAAGCCCGGGGCCACCCGTGCAGACGCTGTTTGGCCACCACAGCTCCCATCTGAGCTCACCTCTGGACCCAGACCGCCTTGTGGCGCTACTAAAACTGGGCCACGCCATACGCTGGTAGTTTTCCATTTCGGGCACGTTTACTACAAAAATCCCTAGGGTTCTTGGTTTCAACAAAACGACAAAACTTATGAAGCACAAAATTACCTTAGATCAGTGAAAGGTGGCCAAGAAAGAAACCACTCTTTGGATCTAAGATAAAACGGGGAGCGAGAGGGAGACAGAAGCCACGGCACAACCACCAGGAGCAAGCGGCACCTTCCTCCACAAACAGGTGTCCGCTAAAACATCTGTGCTTTTCACGAAGTAACAAGACACCGGTACCGTGAAATAAATACGTAAGCAAGCCTGAAGCACAACAGGCCGGCTTGCGGCCCTGCTGTCTCCAGCACCACTTCACAAACGACAGAGCCTCAAAACCATTCACGTAACCAAAAATCACGTCCTCTGAAGCCCTGAAGATAATGGCGTGGCCTGTGGGCGTCGGCACGGCGTGAAATCGGCCGCTGCCCAAGCAGACTGGATGTGACGTGCATCCCGCCAGCTCGGCCATCGCCCCGCACGAACACTGAGGAGACACATTAGGACTTCTCAGCTGTGAACTTACCCCTAGTGAAAACCTGACTGTCAGACTTTTGCTGAGGAAACACCAATCACCCACTCGCCCGTCTCCTCAAAGACCCGATCCGCGGCAGCCCGCGAGCCCCTTCTTATTCCAGGGAGGTGGCCTAGCGGCTGCAGCGTGGTGGCCAGCAAAGGCACAGGGACCAGCCCCCGTCCCCAAGGACGGGAACAAGTGAACAGACAGACCACCGTGCCGCACCTGGAGCACACGCCGCACTCGGAAGCCCGCACGGCCGGAGTCCAGCGGGCTTGGCACACGGCCACCCCTGAGGCCTTTCCTCAGCCACAGGCATCCTCAGGAGCAGACCGGGGCCCGCCCAGGGTGCAAACCCCAGCTGACCCGCTTCTCGGCCTGTAGCAGGCAGACCTCGGCTGTCCCCACTGCCCACACGGGTCCCTCTAGGCTCCTGAAACGTGCCCACTCGGAACAGAAACGTGCTAGGCGTGCAAAACACACAGCACGTGGTAAAGAAAAAGTAAACGCCCGTGAAAAACATGCTTGGCAATTATGATGTGGACGGTGTGCCAAAAGCACGGTACTTCAGGAGCGCTGGGTTAAAAACACGTCTAGGAAGTCAATTCCTTCCCCTCCTCACAAGGCTACTAGCAAACGTGCAGTACGCGTGCGGCCCGCGCTCTACCCCGCCGGGCCTCGCGGACACAGCCTGCGGGGAAGGACACTCTCCCGCCTGCGCCCGCGCCCGGGGCTGGTGCTTACCGTCTTCCCAGGAGAAAGGCCGCCGAGGGGCCGCGGCAGGCCGCTCAGGCAGGTGCATCCCCGAGGCCTCCTCGAAGCCGATGCTGTCGGCCTGGCGCCTGGCCTGCCTCAGAACAACACCGCCCTGATCGCGCAGCCTCACGGCGGCTCTATAAAACACCGTGTCCTTGGCATTGTACTTCATGCAGTTATCTACAATGAGATTAAAATCCTCCTCAAACTCAGTGAGGTGTCTATACCCTTGAGCTTCTAACCGTTTCCTCATTGTGGCAAAGTCCATGGGATGTTTAATGTGATCCAAATAATCTGGTACCTAATTTCAGGGAGGAAAAATAATCGTTTACAAACAAAGAAGAACGCTTATTCATCCTACATAAGCAACACACCCGCCACATAACACACGAGACACCCGCACGCACACGCGCACGGCCCTGAGGACTCTCGCACCCCCGGGGGCGGCGCCGACACGCGCCACATACAGACCCCGCGTCCCGCCAGGGGCCCCGCTCACTCAAGCTCCTTAAACCCAACACACGGCAGCCGGTGCGCTCATCTGGGCGGACAGCCGCCAACCGACTGCCGCTCGGCTGCTCGCTGAGAGGCAATTTTCACGTCTCGTTTTCACTATCTTAACGAGACAGAACTTAAAGAGCGCGTCCAGTAGAAACCGACGCCTAGCAGCTAAGCAGGCTTACGCGCTACCTAGGGAACGGGTACCGAGAAGCCGCGGGGCGACCCCGACGCCAGCGCGTGAACACCCACCTCCTTCAGGCTCACCGGCTGGGCGAATATCCGAGCCGGGTCCTTCTCCTGCAGCTGGTCCAGCACGGAGCGCAGCAGCACCGTGAGCGGCGTCAGCCGCAGCTCCAGGGCCATCTGCTCCACCTTCACCTGCGAACATGGCCCTGGGTCACGCGGTCGCGCTCCCCGCACCGCCCGCCCGGGGAAGGCCGCGCCCCCACCCCCCACCGCGGCCTCTCCCCAGGCGCACCCCACGCGGTGCCCCCGCCCCCGGCCCCCTCCAGGCTGGGGGCCGACCTCCCCCCTCGTCCCGCCGCCCGGAAGCCCTCACG